ATGAATGATAACATTTCTCAATGAGTTTTCTGGTTTTGGTGCTCCTTCGAACGACGCCTCACCATCCAAAATGAGCCTGAGTTGACGCGAGAACGCAAAAGGACAGAAAAGACACGGGGAAAAGGTAAATCGAAAAGAAAAACAGGATGAACGCGATCGATGGTGGGTGATACAGCCTATACCTGTTCGGCGAGGGACAACCCACGACCGCATTGAGCATGTTATCCATAGCAAAAATTACAGGCTGCAGGATCTTCGTGCCAGGGCCTTCCAACTTCCATTCAAACTCTCGTCCGAGCTGCCTTTTGGAAGCTGGGTAAAAGCCTCAAAACCGGTCTTTCCACCCCGTTCAAAGCTCAAATTCTGGTTCTACGTGTCGAAAAGGCCTAAAATATACATAAAGTTGGAGATGCAAAATCTGCCCGGACACTATTTTCAAGGCGGCCTTCAAGTTGTAGATTTTCATTTGTTCAGGCCAGAACCTCCTCTCTTTGCCTAGCACTCTAATGCGGTCCCGTATGGAAGTGGTTGGCAGTTTCGGTACTGCAAATCGGCCTTCACCCCTTCAAAGTTCTTGCAAGTCTTGGGGTCCCTTGTGCATACTCTCCCGGTTAATTTTTTTTGCAGCTGATTCGTACCCACGTGCGTGGGTGGCATCATAATTAATAGCATTAATTGCGCTCAACTGTGCACATGGTTTCTTTCACGATGCGCTTTGTTCTTAAGGCGACCCAGGTGCACCCGAGTGCAATGCTGGGAGAATTTTTGAGAAATTGGCTTAGTTTGAGCTAACATCGACTATGACATTCTTAGCTAAAGCACGATTACATCTAATGTTTTTTTGGAAGAAGTGCTCCTCTCGGAACCTGGATGAGTAACCTTTTGCTTTTTCAATCGCTCATAATGTCTCAGATTTGCTGTTCATTCTCTCTCCCTAAGCTCTCTATGATTACACGTAGGCTATAAGCAAATCTATCGTAAGACAAAATTCCAACCTGTGCTGTCACCTCCTAAATAATATGTGGGTCCAAAAATCGCGGCATCTGAGCAACGCACAGGCCTTTTTATATCAACACACGCTTTCGCCACATTATGTTTAATAAACTTCATCTTGATGGTAATATTATTGGCACGTAACTACTTTTACTTGAATAAGATTTGTTAGATGTTGGTTGGAAACGGTGAAAGTTCGGTTACTTTGAGTTTTTTGTGATCTCTGTTCGTTTAAGTTTTTCTTTGAAAAACTTATCTTATTGGTACCAGTGACGACTACGATGCTTCGATGAAGTTTCTGAAGAAGGACGGACCTACTTCTGATGAAGGGCCTTACAAGGAAAGGAAGTTTAGTCGAAGTGACCTTTTGATATGAGATGAATACTGCCTTAAAGGGTATGAAACGTTGACTCCGATTCCACCTTCCTTATCTGCTGCGGGTTGAGCGATGAATAGTAAAGGTTTTTATGAGCGAAAATTTGCAAGTGCAATTAGGAAAGTTTTCTAGGGTTTGAATAACTGTATCTCTGTGCAGTAAATACTCTTAATTCAACACTCTTAATTCAAACAGAAAACAGCAAATAGAAAGGGTAAATTCAAAATCAGAGTTTTATACTCTTCAAAGAAGTATACCCACCCAACATTGCCTTAATTGAACGCCAAGAAAAGCTGGCGGCTGATTTTACACTTTACATTGAAATTTTTGCCTAAAAAACTTACACAACTTCTTGCTCAGAAATTCGCAGCAAATGGGAAGGGTAAATTTGAAATCAGTGTTTTTTATCCTTCAAGGCAGTATACATCTCATATTGGAAGGCCACTTCGACTAAACTTCCTTTTGTTAGTTAGTTCCATTAGTTAGCCAACTTGGATTGAACTATTTTGCAAAACCATTGAATTTATTAACAGTTGAAAACAAAATACGCGACCAACTTTCCTAATCTCCAAAGTAATGTGAATACCACTTCGAAAGCGAAAGGGGTATGGGAGGAAATTTTGCCTTGGAGATTTCCTACCTTACTTGAGCTGTATGAATTTTCAAGCTCAATTACAGTGTTTTTATTGTGCCACTACTTTCGATTTCCTTCACTGCAAATAAGAGGCTCTCAAAACGGGCGAAATCACTTGATAAAGCATGAAATTCCGAATATTAAAAAAAGAAAACGTGATGATGCTGCCATTTTCGATGAAAAACGATCATCAAGTGCTTTTTCGAATTTTTAACTGACAACAGGATTCCATCATCAGCGATTTTCCACAAAGCCTAAGTATGTTTTGTCTCTCAGACTTTGCGAAGTTGAAATCTGAAGATATTCAAAAAACGATCAATGCTCAAATATCGCCACTGTCTTGGAGTAGAATTACGAACGTTGTTATAATGAAACCCTAAACTTACTTAGAAGTCGTTTTACAAATAAAATAAGAGAAAATCGTGTACATCAATTCACCCACTTAAAATTCTGTACCCTAATTTCATGCGTATAAGGCGCCCTTTTTCGAATCTTCAAGCGAGCCGCTCAGTCGCTTCACTGCATCCCGGAAAGAATTCCTTACATCGCACGATTTTCTCAAGTAATATGCAGTACGTTATAGGGTCCTTTGGTTGTAAAGTCCTTTGGCTTGTCTGTGCTGGTCGATTTTGGAAAAAAATCCCCCGCGCCTTATATGCGTGAAATTAGGGTAATATTTGCTCTGCGTTCATGTTTTTCTTTAGAGAAACTCGAATTACAAACAAATTACTCGAGCAACACTTTACAAACTTGCAGAATTTTGTAATCTGAAACTTGTAATTAATGCAAAATGAAATTCATCTGTAATGAAGACAATCGTTAGCGTTTTTTCTTGAATACATAGAGCAGGTTGATTAACTATCTGATTGTATTTTGTGTGAATTATCCATGTATCTTGCTCCAGTTTGTGTAATTGTCGTGATTTCTTTGTGTTTGCTACGCTCTAATCATATTTTTCCTTGATTTCGTTTCGTGCACTGATTTCTCAAGCGAATTTCAGGATATGTGAAAACATGCCCTTCTAATATCGGAGGATCTGCTGACGTTGATGTGATCATTTCTGATGACTCTATTCAAAGCACGGCTAATGAACGTCTATGCACTTTTTGAGTTTAGAGGAGGATCTTTCCTGTTTACTCTATCCCTTCAACATTTATCATGACATGGCCTCTTTCCTAATCTCGTAGATTTATTTGCGTGAAAAATAATGTAGTTTAAGCATATTTATCTTTGTTTAAATTTTCGCCTAGAAATCATAGAAGATCTACTACATCCACAGGAAACACTTGAAAATTCAAAATAATAGAAGAAATTGCATGTTTTACTCCTTTCATCCTTCTCCTTAGACTGAGTTTTGACATCTAGACCCTCCCGGTACTTTTCAGTAAGGAGAGAGGGTCTATTTAATTTGCTAAAGATTTTTTAATAAAAATTTCAAATTTTCAAAACGATAAGTTATCCACAAATTTTAGAAAATTTCTCGTTATGTATGATGATGGTTTTCTGGCTCAAAAAAATTCGATATTACAAGTGGAAAAATTACAGAAAATGAACAATGTAGAAAATCACATTAGAAGTTTCTGCAATTATTTAAAAATTTAACATCGAATCTGGTTTTGAACTTATCTACCAATAGGAGGAAGCAATATTATTAAACTCATTTCAGGTCTTTTCTTAGTTGCTTTTTTGCATGGTTTGGGACCATTTAAGCTTGTAGAAAGAAAACTTTGGTAATATCCTGGTAATTGTGGAAAGTTTAGTGTTGGCAGCTCATATGTCAAAATTTCAAACATTCGAACTAAGCGTCATATGAGTCTGATAAAATCAGAGCGTTTTCATCCTGTCATTGTCACAAACCAAGAAGCACAGAACGTATGCTTGCATATGGTATATAAACTGCATAAAATACATAAACGAGTGCCAGCTGTTCGATTCCATGTGTTTGATGGTGCAAAATTCACATTGTTTTCTTGGACTGTGCCATTGAGGCTTCATGCGCTATATTTTACAAATGTAAAATGTCCTCGGTTAGCATCTCCGCGATGCAAAAATTTCTTCAAAATTTGTCTTTCCTCTCTTCTAATTTTGTAAACTCTTGGACCACTCATAGTTCTAAAGACTTGAACTAGAGTTTTACGAGTCTGATTACAATAAAAGCATTCATCTTCTCTTTTCAGGTCTCCTCTTATTTCAAAATCGTTATCAGCAGGGCTCGGCACGAGGTGGCTTTTCAAAGATGCCAAAAAACGAAATCTCCTTGACTTTCCTAAGATTTTACCTAGTCTTCTTTGACTCTCAACCATAAACGTGAAAAAAAACTCGAAAATGATACCCTCTTTGCTTTTTGCCCTAAAAACGATATCCAGCTTGCTTGTAAGCCACCTGTGCCGAGCCCTGGTTATCAGTTCGGTGGAAATCTCTCAGTTTATAGATAAAAACCCTCATTAACACTATTTCTCACTCTAAGGGACTATGTATGTACTAATTGGTGAACCATTTCAGACAGGCAAATGAGAATTCATTTTATACTTTTATGATTGTTTCCGCCACAAATTCTTTTGATCTACCTTGTTTGGTCCTTTTCTCAGTTCACCAAATTGTGATGGTCCGTTGTGCTCTTTTCTCTTTTGGTAACCTGAGCCCAAGTTGAGTTACTAAATAACAGTAATAAAACTTTACCTCCCATTTCTTTGCCATAATTTTTGCTTGAATTACTTCAGCCCAATAATTTGTCCGCTAATCGTTCTTGATCGTTTTGATAATAATTTTTGCTTGGATTATTTCAGCCCAATAATTTATCCGCTAATCGTTCTTGATCGTTTTCATAAATCATCCTTCGCTCTATTGCTCGTAACAGCTTGCTTGATATATGGGACTCCTTTGTCCATTTCTGCATTTTCCTTCGTTCATACCGCATATTTTCTGCTGATCTCACCTTCCTCGTTTAACACTCATACAGTTTTTTTTACTTTGCTTTGATTCTGATTTTTTTTAGAAATGGATGGGGGAGCATTCTCCCTTCGGTTTTTTGCTGGAGATTTCTCGTTTGATGATCCAAAGATGCAAGCTACGTTGCGATATTTACGACGGTGTAAAACATTCGAGTGTATTTTACGGTAGGTCAAAATTTTGTTTGGAATTGTTTAGTAATCAAACTACTTACAAAGCTGATCCTCTATTTCTTCGTTTAGCAAACTCAATTTGACTTTTAAGGCAAAATTCTTGCAGTCTGATGTTTGGTGGCATGTCAGAAATGGTATGTACTTTATAGACAGGGTCAAGAAAGTTCTGTAACAGAAGTTAAAATTTCGCAGTTGTGATGCTCACGCATACGTTTCTAAAAAATTCAAAAATTGGATATCATATGTAGCTAATGTGCGAACCTAGGTGAAAAAAGCGAATCTCAAGCTTCGAACTCTGCCTATCATTCCATCTATACGGGCTATAGTTCTGGTTAAACAGAACTTGCAATTTGTAATTATCAAAAAGATAAAAGAATCCTAGCGAGTAGAAAATGAGGTGACGGAGAAAGTAAATCATGTGCCCAACTAGCATGCAGACTACTGTATTTTGAATTCTCAAAAATCTCTACCTTAAATGCATCTGCTCTTTATACATTTATATAAGATTCAATGACACTAGCCCGCTTTACTTTATGGATAGACTAACTTATTTGAAGTGCTTAATATGGTCAACTGTATACAGCTTTCTGAAGAGTAAATTCGACATCTGTGATAATTACCCTGTCTTGAAACGGAGCGAATTGGAACCCACTAGATGCTTATTGATAAAACTATTCAAATATAGTGTGATATAAATGTGCCAAAGTAAAGACATAAAGAAGTATAATGATTGGTTAATGTATAATGATTGATTAATACGAGTACATTGACGGGTTACGAGAGTGTGTTGAACCACCAGAGTGCAGAATGCAAAGAAATCTTAGATAGAAACCGCGGTGAAAGAGGGTCTTATCAATAGAACAAAGCATTAGCAGATAGCTGAAGATAAACATTCAGAAGAATCTTAGCATTCAATCTAACATTCTTAGACTGTGCAGTATCCGCAGATAGGTGTTTAGCGAAGGATATCTGTTCCCTACCTCTTCCGCGAGAAGGAACGTCGGAGCCTCGTTAGCTCAGTTGGTAGAGCGTTAGACTTTTAATCTAACGGTCAGGGGTTCGAGTCCCCTACGGGGCTTGACGTTTTGCAATGTTCGAAAAGTCATAAAGTCATGGTAGTTGATAATGTATTTGATGTTTCAACTTCTTACCTTCTTTTACGAGTTAAAAGATATTCTGACGTTTTTTGCAAGGGTATATTATTAATGTTTGCTTGGTTTGGTGATAGGGACAAGGTTTCTTATATCTCGTAGACATCTTGTTCACAATCAACAAAACGTAAGCGGTCTAGTAATCTATAAAGATTCTTAAAAACTGGAGATTATAATATGAAATAAGCAATTCTTTTACAGTCGTGGTTTTCTTAGGTAGATCCATTCGACCAAGTCAGTCTGTGAATGAGATCAAAATCAAAACTTGCGTTCTTATTTTGAAGGATCGAAGCCTTTCAAACAAAAAAAGTTCAACAGAGTAAAACCGATCGTTTGCGTAATTAGTTAAAATTTGAAGGTAACGCGAAGGCTCGATATTTGCCAAGAAAAAAGTATTCTATCCTAAACCTCTTTGACACAGACACTCTAATAAGCATGAAGTTTTGTGTAGTTGAATGGAATCTTTGAAAAACAGAAAATCGCAACTGTCAGCTGTGTATAGGACGTAAATCCTATCTATATAGGTAAAAATACAACCAATATTGCATGTAACTTGTCCGAACGGCATCGATCGACTAACGTTGCTATTGAAAATGCCAGCGATATTGCTAGTTGGCTGTACGTTCCGGTTGATTAACTCATTCTTTGAGCTTGTAGCTCGCAAGAGAAACAAGGTAAGAAAAATTCTTTGAAATAAAAAAAATTCTTTAATTCCACTCTAGCACATTTATTACAAGGATACACGTTGAAAATGCTTTGGTATGTTACGCTTACTAAAGAAAATTGCGAGTAGGAGAGACGCAGATGTTTTCTCAACTTAATTTTAGCTGACAGTGGACCATAAAGCTTGCACTAATTTGAAAAATTTTAACTTGAATATGTTATGGCTTTACTTTAGCAAGGAATGCATTTTTCATTTGTAAGAAACAAGTGCTAGTCCGACGTCTCTACAAATAATTATGAGTTTTAAATTTATTTGCCTCGATTTGTTTGGGACAAATATCAGATTGCATTTTTCGACGAAACAATCAACAAAGAATAAGAACAGCTAACAAAGATTACAATAGCGATTAAATTCTTTTGGAATGTCCAGAAAGAATCGTGGTTGTTGATGTAAGACTTATGGCCGACCTAATACTTTCTCAACTCAAACGTCGTCTAGTAATCCTCCCAAAATCGCGCAAACACCCTAATTTTGGACTTTTCAAGCACTTCAAAGCCCTGAGTTCGAATGATTTAGCGCAGAATAAGGCCTAAAAGAGGCAGTAGGTGAAGGTAGAAGATCTTTCACACTGCCGCTAGCCACTTCCACTCTATTTACTAGAATTTAATTTGTATTTATTTTTATTATCGATTTAATTTTTTTTAAATTTAATTTCGAGATGTTGATCCTGTATTGTCAAACGCGAATCGTATTATTAATCACCTCAATTTCCTCACGGTTAAATTTTTGATTAACCTCGAGTTATTTGTAACTCAATATGTGAGTTTGCACACTAAGCCCTTTTAGCAACGGCATCCATACTAGTAACTTCCTAGTAAAAAATTCCCTGGCCTAGCAAAATGTAGAAATGTGTTCTGCTGACTAACATATAACCAACTAAAACAAAAGAAACAAGGAAACAAGGAGAAATCACTGGAAATGAAGGTTCTAGTTTCGCAGTTCGTCAGTTAGCATGTATATTGTGCAATACGCATATCAAGTTACAATTGACTCTACATTACATGTATCTTTTTACTCATATGAGCCAGAAAAATATAGTCTCCTATCTTTTATGACAATGCCCCTTCTGAAGCAAAAATGTACTGCTTCACAAGTATAAATTTTCATACTTACTGCACCTATAGCTTCCACATCATCATGTATTTGTTAACCGGAAATTGAGGTTTATTGCTAGTGAATGAGCCTATTCGAGTTTTTTTCTTGCTTGAATGGGAAGTAATTAAACAGTCTCTGTTTTGACATTTAGTCTACACGTTTACAGTAGTTTTTTAACTTTGCATGCGGAACAAGAAAAAGGAAAGTTCATAACTAGATGTGTATCTCGCTGATCAAGCACAGAGATACTGTTTCTTCTCCTATGTCATTTGTACAATAACATATTTGTTTTGAAACAAGTTAATTGCTCATCATTGACTTTTTTCACGGCATTGTTTTCCTCACACTTCATATGAATTTTTGCTACTGCAAAAAAATTTCTCTAGATTTTCGTGGCCCTATTATGAGTGCAGATGCACCATCTGCAGAAGACTAACAAAATTCTTTTTTTTTTGGAAACCATGTTACAGTGATCTTGTGTAGCTATGAGTGCAGTGATTTTTCTTACTTATGGAAGTTCTTATTACTGTAGATTATTCTACTGACAATGACACAAAACCAACATGGAAGGAATCGCTCTTTGAATTGTTACTTCTATTTCTGGCTGCGAATCCTTAATCTAGTTTTCTTGCAAGCCAATTTTATTCCCACACTTTTTGTCATCCATGGGATGGTTTGCATTCAAATTGGGATAAATATTAAATTACGAAAAAAGATCTCTTTTGGGAGGTTTGCCTGAGCTAAGCTCTTCTACTTTCACTGTAGACTCCTCTCAAATATTTCTTCATATAATCCGCCTTTCTATCACGTAATGACCCCGCGTTCGACTGTAATATTGAGAATATCACAATTGGCTGTAAATTAGACTAATTGCCGAATCACCAACATGGCTCGGCACGAGATGGCTTTCCGAGAATGCAAAAAACGAGCCTCCCCTCCCCTTGACTTCCCCAAATTTCACGAAGTCACCCTGGACCCCAAACCACAAACGTTAAAAACTCCTAAAAAACGAAACGCCACTAAAAAACCGTCCTAATTTGTAACTTTTCGGCCACATAAAACTATACCCAGCTTGTTTATAAACTAGCCACCTGTGCCGGGCCCTGATCACCAATTCTTTTGCACCTATAGGATAACGGTTTATTTCCGCCATGTCAATGTTTCTTCAACTAGATTTCTGAAATCATGACTTACACACTCATAAACACATGATTTTTTTTGGACCCCACAATATCACTTGAATCATCAGCATTACTTCTCCCTTCGAAGCAATTCCTTTCAAGATTCATGTTTGTGCAATGCATGTAAGAAAGCAGCTAATCGTTGCTGTTTTCGTGTTTGCCGAGGATTATCCTTGCTTAGTAATGCCCCTTCAACAGATGACGTTTACGTGGCTTCTTATATTTTCACATACTGTAGATAGCTTCTTCTTGTCTCAGAGTCAGGGCTCGGCACAGGTGGCTTACAAGCAAGCTGGATATCGTTTTTGGGACGAAAAGCAAAGGGGGTTTCGTTTTTGTGAGCGAAGACATACGGAAAATTGACGACGGCGACCTTTTTTTTAGTCGACGTTTCGTTTTTTGGGGGATTTTCGGAAATTTTTGCGGTTTTTAGAAGAAATTTGGTTCTGGGTCAAAGGGGACTTCGTAAAAATTCCCAAAAGTCAAGGGGGACTTCGTTTTTTCCATTTTCATCTAGCCACCTCGTGCCGAGCCCTGCTCAGAGTTATTTCCACTATTCAAGCTGTTGTTCAACAACCGAAGAAATATATTGGTAAAGTAATCTTATAAGAATAATGGATATAATTATCAGTGTTTCATTGCTTTTTTTGCACACTCAGGTACCTTTATTTTATTTTATTTTATTTTATAGCACAAAACGTGCGTCCACGATAGTCAGAAAGTCTAGGTAACAGTCATCGTGAAACAAAAAAAATTGAAGCGCAGAAAAATAAAACCATTACTGGAAAAATGGTCTTAAACAACCCAGGTTTATTTGAAAGACAGTTTGACACTACCAGACTA